GGGGGGGGGTTAGGCTTTAGGGTTGTAAGTTATTGAAGAGGTATAGGAAATAATTGTCTGTCTATTTATAATTGAAGCATGAAGGTTTAGATTGGAATTGGTAATCAGATATTCAAATAAAAGTATATTATTGATTGGGTAGTGAACTGCTTTTACTTCATGAATTTATTTATTTATTTATTTATTGAGGATGAAATATTTATAGATAATAAGTTTGCTCCTTTTTTCTTTTTACTTATTATTCTGAAAAACCATCTTTTGGTTCAAAAAGTAAATCAGAACTTTACTAACATGCCCTGTGAGAAAGACAAGAAATTTAGAGAGGAAGAACTGAAAAGCTCTGAAGAGATGACGTTTCTGCCGGGAGCTATCCACACAAATCTTTGTTTATAGATTTGGGTCAGGGCTTGAGTGTCATAAAAAGAGCTACATTTATGATAAAAATATGACAAGATTGGCATGTAGTTAAGAGGGGAACCAATATTATTGTTTAGGTTGGGCTAAATTAATAAATGTTTAAATATTTTGAATTGTTGGGAAAAAAATTATATCAATGGGGGCAAAATCATTAAATTGCCTAAATTATATAAGAAAAATAGTAAATTTTACTATTCATGTAGAGAAATTGTAATTTCAGGTTGGGGGAAAGGGTCAACTTGCTCAAGCGAATATTGGATGTAACTCTTGAACTTGAGCGAGTATGTTGTGTTTGCTAGGTATGATTGAATGACCATAGATTCGATCAAGCTCTGGCGAGTTCAGCATGATTTTGGTGAGTTCTAGCTCATTTGGGTATATCCATGCATACATGGGCCAGTTTCTTCGCATATGTTTGGGGCCACGTTAAATCCAAGTTTATGTATGTATATAAATGTTAAATCCACATTAGAGGCAAACAGGGATATTCTCGGGCTCTGTGACCCATTTTATGTAGGTAGGGAAAATTACATACATAGCTCCCAATTCTTAAGGATTTACCTATGTCACACCTAAACTTTTTTTTTTTTACACACACAACACTTTACCTTATTGAAAGATGTATTTGACTATTAAAAAGTGATAATGAATGCTATTTTTCATATAATGTTTGTAGTTATGAAAGTTTAGGAGTGAGATAAGTAAATATAAAACTTTTGAGTGCTATGTATGTAAAAGCCCCATTTATATATTATAACAGAAGGGTCATAAGAGCTAAGAGAGAGATCCAGATAGAAGAGCCAAAAAGCCTCATTTGTACTTGTTATGGACCCCTATGTACAAAAGATAGAGGGTCAAGAGGTGAAAAATTAAATATCTGCCCCACGTGGCATTATTGTCTTTTATCGTACATTTTTTGTATTCGTAACTAATTTTGGTGTCTTTTAATATACTGGACCTTTCGGTCTGCATGTCCTTAAATCGATTAGTCGAGTTATTAGTGATCAGCTATTTTGCTTGGATGTTAGCAACCTTTGCTCTGAGGAGCCGGTCAACTTTTAAAAGTGGTAGTCGATCTGCTCTAGTGAGCCGGTTGGTTTGCATGTTACTCTGTGATCTTTGGTGAATTTGTTGAGAGAGTCTCACGTTGACACTTATTAGATTGGTCGAGCTATTTTTTATCAACTATGTTGTTTGAATGTTTGCAACCTTCGCTCTGGGAAGCCGATCAGCTTAAGAGTGGTAGTCAGTATGCCCTATTGGGCCGGTTGGTTTGCTTATTCCTCTGTGATCTTTGGGGAAGTTGTTAAGAAACTCTCATGTTGATACTTATGGGATTGTTGGGGTACTAGACTTTTACTTAGTCGTTGGGGTAAATGTTTGTTTTTGGTCTACCCGGTTGGCCCTTGGGTCATTAGACCGTCTTTTAGGCAATCAGTAGTCCTTCAATTGGCTGGTTTTCATTGGTTGGTGTTTCTTTAACCAATCGACTTCATTAGTAATTGCAGCCTTTCGTGGGGATATTTATTAATTTCTTTTAATCTAGACGTCAAATTGTCTTGAGATTCTTGTAATTCATTTTTAGGTGTATAATACATATATGTTGCGCGCACGTGTGCATATGTGTGCACATTCAAATACTATTCAGCTAGGCTCCATACCTTCACCTGATCTTCAAATTCTCACACACGGGGATTTTCTCGACTTATCTTTTGTTAGATCTACTTTGTTGTTGTCATTTTATGTCTTACATACTTTGTAATCATTGATTGTTTTAACACACTATATATATATATATATATATATCACACGCATTTATTATGCAATCGTATATTATCAGGTAATATTAAAAGATTTTAAAATTTTATATATATAAGCACACCTGATATTATGGTATAGAAATAGTTACATAGAATTGCATGTGTTTAAGTTACTCATATTCTTTTTCATAGGTATGCTATAATTTTTTCTTATAAATTTTGCTATAGATGTTGTAAATTGTTCATTTTTTTTCTTCATGTTGCATGAGTCATTTCTTTTGTCGTTTATATTTTAATAAGTATAGTAATTTAATGAATTTGATTTGTCTAATTAATTTTTTATATTTTTAAATAATAGATTACACTCAGTTACTTGTAGAACTGTCTTCATCGAATTAGAATTTTCAATTTTAAACTTTACTTCCTAGTATTTTCATTTTGTTTTCCATTAGTTTATTGTATTTTTTTTTTTGGGTCCAAGTAGTTAGTTATATATTGTTATTTAAGCTTCTTTGAGTAATTTTTTTGTTCACTTTAGTTGTATTAGTTGTATGGCTTTTATTTATTTATGAATTAAAATTTTCTTCTTGCTCTTTTGTGTATAATATTTTCTTTTAAAAATACAAAATAGTTCTAAAATTATTAATTTTGGGAAATTTGCATACATACTAAAAAAATTTTATGTTTTTACATGTCAAACACCTAAAATTTTATTTTGACACTTATAACACATTGGTGTTGATATGTGTTATAAGATTCGCAGGGGTTTAAGTAATGATTATTTATCTTCTTAGAATTCTATGAATGACTAACACACGATTGGGTAATTAAAGTGAAGTAATCTGAAGGAGAGAACTCAACTTTTTACATGCAAAACCCTTAAAAGGTAAAAAACCATGGGGCCCAGCCCAGTTGAAATAAATTATTATGAATGGTGAGTACATATGTCCACTCTTCTCTTGAATTAGAAAAGATGAAATTATAAAGTTGTATGTCTCAATTTGACTGTGGTTTATGGTGGTAGCAGGTTACAAGGGTCATAGTCGACTGCCGCAGAGAAAGCAGTTTGTCGTGAGTGTTGTAGATAGTAGTTGTAGCGCCACATTATCGTAGAAGTTGTAGTTGATAACCATGACAGCAGTTGGTCAGGTGAATCGTAGATGGCTCCTTTAGGAGCAACGGTTGGTCATAAAGACCGTAGTAAGGAGTTGTGGGAGTTATGGGCCACGTAAGCTGTATAGGTCATAATTGTGAGCTACGATGGCGTCCCGAGTTAGAAACATCACAAGTTGTGGCTAAATTTTCTAAGTTTAATTTAAAAATTAATTATATTATTGTGGGCTTTTAAAAGAACGTATAGAAAATTGAGATTTTGTATGGTGCAAAAATAACTCGACCTACGAGCAAATTTTCTCTTTTTTTTTTTCTTTTCCTTCGTGCGCTCCAATCTAATCTCTTTCGATCCTTCATATTATTATCAACCATTAGAGTACATATTTGAGCATTCAAATTTTCGACTTTGTGAGAGAGATGTTCTTATAAATATATAAATCTTCATACAAGAAAATTAAAAAGTAATATCAATGTTATTTTTTATGAGATATTAAATATTAGAGAGCTATGAATAGAAATATGAAAGTTTAGGTTTCAATATTGTAAATACATAAGAATGTGCGCTATTTATGTAAATGTTCTTCAAAATTTGCAGCAAGGCAGAACTCTTCTAACTCTATTATGGGGAAATCCCCATCCCTATTTTTGAGAGGAACAAATCAAAGTTATTAGATGGCTTTTCAAATTGATTGCGAATTATGTTTTTAATTAATTAAGCGCAGGTGATGGATCGCTTTCCCCATTTTTTTTTTCTTCATTACACATTTCATCTTCATCTCCTGCGTTTCCAGTACTTCCTTGGAAAGAATATTATTTAGGCATATATATGTTTTTCAAATTTTTTGCTTGAGATGTTTGGATGATTTACATATATGCCCCTCAATATCCTCTTTTTAGATATCCACCCCCCAAAAGTCCCGAAAAATTATTTCATACATAAATGCATACGGTGTCCGATCTCCACCGTCCATCACAGCAAAGATGCATGATGATGGGCCCTATTTAAATTTTTTTTTTTTTTTATGATGGGCCCTATTTAAATTAAATTTTTTTTTTTTTTTTTAAATTTGATAGACGGTGGAGATCCGATACCATATGTATGTACTTGCTTTTCTAACTTCCTCCACTTGCTTTTCTAACTTCCTCCAAAGCCTTATAACCGCCCAAATATGCCACCATCTAATTTTCAAGTTCTCATTTTTAACTTTGTCCTCTTACTGTTAAGGTTTTGCTAAGCATGTCTTTTTTCTTTCAGTATCTTGATTGTTTTCAACAACTATTCTGCTAGCAAGAGCCAATAAAATTGCTGTCTAAATTTGTAAGAAATACTTAATTGAATTAAATATAGTATGACAATCACATGAGCAAGTAAAATTGAATATAAAGATTGTATATGATCAAAACCGACTTCTTATATTCAACCCAATCCGTTGAATTAAATATATGTTCTCACTAAAGGCAAAACCCAATGAATTCATGCAAAATAAATTTTATTTCATTCAATTCTATAAATTATGGCATATAGTACATGATATGTATAAAGTTGATGGAAGGGTCTAGCAACAAGTATAACAACCAACTTGTCTCATTGGTTTGGATGTGGTGGTTATATCTAAGATGATTAGTGTGTAGAAAGTTTGTTATCTTGTTTT